CTGTTACTAGTCTGCCAAATGAACGTGATGCCCAAGATGACCCCAAGGACATTTTGAAAATGGTGAAGCCCACTGCCATCTACCCCACTGCTACATGCTAAGTACTGAAACAAGGATTCTTAAAGGTATGTTTGAGCTCCTACTTTTGTTACCAGTTCCCAGACTACAGTCTGTTTGAACTAATAAAACCACTGCGGTGAGTATGGAGAAGTGTGAGATGTGCAACAGCGAGACTGACTGTTCTCTCCCTCAAATGCATCCTCTCTGGACTTCATCAGGTTCCTTGCCATGTGGTTTTATTCCTTCAAAGAGATTATAGTCAGGGAGTGGGTAACAAAAACAAGAGCTCAAACCATGCCTTTCCAGCTTAACCCCATTTATATCCACTTCTTTTATTAAGAACATAACTTCAAAAGTCCTTTTTTCAACATTAAGTACATCTTAAAAGCCATGTCTTCATATTTTAACTTCAACTCTCTGCAGAACCAAGTCCTTCCATACATCCCTTATACTAAGCTATGGACCATCTTTAAAACTGAATTTATCACCTAGCACGCTATCTCAACACATAGGTTTCAGATGCTATGTGCATTATCTACGACAGGCATCCTTTATAGCTGTCTTCTTCTATTTCTCATATCTCTCTAGCTAGCATATTATCTGCCTATCTTTAGTCTAAATAATTATTTATACACCTGGTTTTTTATACCTATATATAGAAACTTCAATTTTTACCTTATACATTTCATTTTCTTAAAGAGCCCATAAACCCTGCCTTTAAAAATCTTTGTGAACCCTGATTCTGTCAACTAATATTACTTTTCTCTTTCTCCTTTCAAGCACAGTCTTCTACAAAGAGGGAGGAAATTCCATCCTTTCTACACTTATTTTCCTAAGCAAACAGTATTGACCTAGAGGTCAGATTCATGGTTGCTATCCCATATGTTGTGTTCATCCGTATTCTGAACAGCTAAAAATACAACCTGGCATGGTGGCATGCACCAGTAGTTCCAGCTACATGAGAGGCAGGAGGATCACTTGAGACCAAGAGTTTGAGGTCTGAGTGAGCTATCATGATGTCACTGCACTCTAGCCTAGATGACAGAGACCCTGTCTCAAAAATAAAAAAATTAATAAATTAAGAAGTAAAGCATTGGCCAGGCATGGTGATTCATGCCTATAATCCTGGCACTCTGGGAGGCCAAAGTGGGTGGATTGCTTGAGCTCAGGAGATGGGGATCAGCCTGAGCAAGAGTGAGACTTCATCTCTACTAAAAATGAAAAACTGAGGCAAGAGGATCACTTGAGCCCATGAGTTTGAGGTTGCTTCAACACCATGGCACTCTACTGATAGGCAAAAAAGGGAAACTCTGTCCCCTCTCACCAAAAAAAAAGAAGTAAAGCATCACGTAGTACTTATGCTTTCTTCCCTATTTTCTAATAATACCTCATACTAAAGCTACTTTTCCTATGTTATTCCTGCAGAATGTTGAACACAAGTTTTTTTCCCTCTTCTCTGGAATCTATCAAAAGACTGAATTTATATGGCAAGTAGTTGAATTACTAGTGTATAATTTAGATAAATAATTGATTTCTTAAGAACCTTAAATTCTGAAGTTAGAATGTAGCTTTTTCAAGTCACAAAATGTATTTAACATAGTACTTTAGTCTTCTAAGAAAAGTAGATAGCTTTATAAATGCCATAGAGCAGGTAGGCCCTAGTGAAGATTGTGGAATATTCTCTGAATTGTGATATAAAAAGATGTACTGCTGAGACAGAGCATCTTAAAAAGAAGCCAGGGTCAAAACAATACTATTTTGCCGATGTCCATAACCTAGCCAATAAAAACATTTGTTCCCATGATCAGAAATAGATTGTTAACCGTAGAATGTCTCTGAAAAACAATTTAATTTTCTTTGAAATTCTGTCTCTAAAATTAACTGCAACTTTATTTATATGACTGTCTGTGGTTTTCATGTATGCCTAAAAAGCACAAAAAAAGATAAAAATATCCCAGAATTGGAAACATAGTCATTATGTTGGGTTTAGCTTACTTTCATATTTTTATTTTTAAAATCCATCCAAATTAAAGTTCACCATTTTGCAATAGAAGAAGTCAATTTATGTAAAAGTGGAAAGAATAAATTCAGCAACCTCTAAATTAAATTTGGAATTTATTAGTGAATGAATACCTAAAATCCTTTTCTACACATTATAAGAATGAATATATTTATCATTCATTTAGAATTTAAATACATCAAGTACATGTTGCCTGGGAAGGAGAAGTGGCAACAGAAAATAATTTCAATTTAATATTATGCCTTGAACCCATATATGTCATCAGACAAAATAAGTAAGTTGATCTCTATTCAATAATATAGCATTCTCTTAAGATTTCTCAATCTTATTCCAAATTATAGAAATCTGTTTTCAGATCCTGCACTTGCACTAAAATGCTAACCACAGCTTAAAGCACCATTGCCAGAATGCTCTTGTATTTTGGCTGAATCTAAGGGTCAAAAGGCCTGGATTTGAAACCTACCTCAGCTACATACTAGGTGTTAGACCTCAGTGAAATTATTTAAATTTCCTTAGCCTCTGTTTACTTATTTGTAAATTAATACACTACCGGCAATCATCTAATTTATATGATTTCATCACAGTCTATCAGTCCTATACAACTGTTAAATATTGACATTAATGTTATATGCTAAAAGTCATTCGCCCACCTTGGAGGGGGTAAGAATTTTTTCCAATGAATCATCAGAAAAGAGTCACTACCACCTTGGAATTATGAAACTACTTAGGGGTGAGCCAGATCACCTTCAATAAGACTAAAATTTTATTGTATCTATTTTTGGTCTTGAAGCCACAGAAATTACTCAAGATCACACAATATACTACAATTAGTCAAGTTATTACTGTTCATATACAGAATATTTGTATGCCTATAATACATACAAAAATAGCACAAGGCACTAAATAATAAAAAGACTATAAAAATTAACAGTAATCTATCAGGGGTAGAGAACTTACCATTTAGAGGTCACGTGTGGTCTATTAGACCCTTCAGTTCAACCTTTTGACTGAATCCGTATTTTACTAAATAAATCCTTTTAATAAAAGGATTCCTTCTGTGAAGTTTGGATTTGGTCAAGAGGCTTCACTTGGGGGTGTAAAGGGCCACATGTCATCCAGGAAAACCTTAGAGAGGAAAAGTTCTATGTACCTCTCAGCATTTCCATTTCACTAATCCACCAGGACGTGACTCCACTTGTTCTTAAAGAGACATTAACAACAGTTTAACATAACAGTGTTTGTCATGTAAAGAAAAAAATATCCATTTACTAACTAGTAAAATCAATGAGCCTCTCCCTCACTACTGGAGAAACAAGAGATGTATCATAGTATTTACTTTCTTGGCTTTCAAAACAGAAAAATTATCCTTCTGAGTCCTAGCCAACTAGCTATGTCAATTCATGATATCTCCCCACCCCCATCATCTTATCAAATTTTTTCAGTTTATATCTCTCTACACTTCAATGTGAAGGGAGGTAGGAACCCACAATAAGTTCTACAGGTCCTCAGCTCCAAAACTTTCTCCTCTCTGTCATCACTAAAAGGGATACTGAAACAGAGTTCAAAAGCTTTTATGGTACAAATGCTGGTTATTCACACTGTAAGGCCCATTATACTTGCAGGCATGTGGAGAAAAAGAGAAAGGCATACAAGGGGCTCTCCATAAGCCCACTTTCCTTGGATCTTCACATTCCTTCCCCATTTTTAATGCCAAAATTCAAGATTTACCTCTCCGTGAGCCTACAAAGCTCACAGCTTTCTTTACAGGCTGAGTTGTAACAATCAAAACGAAACACTCAGCAATGTATCTTTTATCTTCAGTGAAGCACAACTGGACAGTCATAATTTTCAAAGTCAGCTGATGAGTATTTCTGATCCATTCTAACAAGAGAATTAATGTTCCTATGGAGGAGTGGGTTTATTTGAGGTACATCAAATAAACAGCAACAACAATACAAGCAGCTACCTCATTTACGGAAGACATTGCTCTAAGCATTTGATGTACATTTTTTCTATTTTATCTCACAGCTCTGTAAGATCAGCATTACTCTCATTTTACAGATAAGGACTCTGATGCTCAAAGAAAATGAGTAACTTGTCAAGAATCATACCATGCAACTGGGATTTCAACTCAAATGTTTTGCTCCAAAGTCTGTATCTAAACTATCATATTATACCAAGAACTGTTTTGAAGAACACTGCCTGTATGTGTCTATATACACAGATATATAATAAAAATGCACACACACACACACGCCAGTATATTTAGAGAGCCAAACTTTACAGTTACATTACAAAATGTTTCAGTATCACCATGGATCTGCCACCAGTTAGACTATCATGGAGCATAAATTATGTTCAACCATAACATTCCTTCAAAATGCCTGACAAAAAACGAGCAGTTGAATTGTACTGTTATAAGTAACCTTCAGGCCTTTTAGCTAAAAAGAAAAGAATTCAGACTGGTGATTTCAAGACCTAATTCAAACCATGACTGGTCACCATTACACAAACCATTAGTTTATTATCTGTGTTTGTTTTGTTTTACTAAAACAGTAACTTAGAAAATTTCATAAAAAAAAATTATATGTGTTAGTGAAATTACTAGGCTAAGATTTTTGCTAAAGAATCAGAGGAATTTTTCAGCTTCTAAGTATGTAAAAACCATTAATTTCATTACTTTATTATCAATAGAAGTTTAAGTGGGGATAAAAAACCCAGCAAAATAGGCATTCCAAAATCACTGTATTCAAAGGTTATTGTGCTTGTGAGTCTAAGAAGGAAGAAAATTATTTCTAATACTATATCTTGCAATTGTATCACCAAATTATTTAATGGTTAATGTAACATAAATGTAAGTATAAATACAACAAAGACAAAAATATCGATATTAAAGTGCAATAATATAATATCAACTTACCAACTCAATTCCCTGTGGAAAAGGAGTATCATCCCAGTCCCTCTGTGGAAATCTCTGGATTATTTTCCCCATGCCTTCTCCTGACCCTGTTAATAAAAATAAATCAGTTATGAGTCACTAAAAAATACAAACACTCATTATACCATCATTTATTTCTAAATGAAAATTTGTTGGATAAATTGATGCATTGATTAAACATTTTCAAGGTTTTTTGCCTTTTTTTTAAAAAAGGCCTTGCTCTATTGCCCAGGCTGGACTTCAGTAGTGGCATCATACCATCACTGTAACCTTGAACTCCTATATACAAGTGATCCTCTCACCCTAGCCTCCCAAATAGCTGGGACTATAGGTGTATGACAACCACCACAACTGGCTGATTATTTTATTTTTTTGTAGAGACAAGATCTTGCTATCTTGCTATCTCACCCAGGCTGTTCTCGAACTTTTGGCCCCAAGCAACCTTCAGCCTTGTTAGGATTACAGTGTTAGGATTACAGGTGTAAACAACTGCGCCCAGCCTTAGTTTTAAAAAACAAAAAAGCATTCACCATGCAAACACAATACAGTCAGACCTCTGCATCCCTGTGTTCAGCATCCATGCATTCAACTAACCATGGATTAAAAGTATTCAAGAAAAAACAAATAACAATGACAAAAATGTAAATTTTTGAAATAGAGTATAACAACTATCTACATAGAATTTACATTGTATTAGGCTTTATAATTAATTAGAAGGTAATTTAAAGTATACAGGAGGATGTGCATAGGTTATATGCAAATACTATGTCCATTTATATATGAAACTAGAGCAGCCCCAGATTTTGCTATCTATGAGGGTCCAGAAAGAAGAGCTTTTCTTTCTACAGAGACAAAGTAATTTTAAGTGACAAACAAAAGAGCACTGTGAGCACACTAAGTTCAGTTATGGGTTATCAGGACTGTTATGGGTTAAATAAAGATTTTTTAGGCTGGTCTGGAAATTTGATCCATTGTTTGGGAAGAATTGTCAACATCAGCGCTACTGACATCTGGAGCTAGATAACTCTTTGGGGGAAATATGGGCTGTCCTGTGCATCGTAGGGTGTTCAGCAGCATCCCTAGCCTGAATCCACTAGATGCCAGTAGTAACCTCTAGTACTCCCTTACTACTAGCAAGTTATTACAACCAAAAATGCTTCCAGATGCTGCCAAATGTCCCTAGGTTGAAAACCACAGGTCTATATTAGTTTTTGTTATCTACTTATCCTATGACACCAAAAATGGAGCAATTCATAATTGAACTCTGGGGATATAATCTGTGAGTAGATTGAGGGCTGAAAATATGTTAGCTCTAAATTGCTTTTTACTGTATATTTGAAAGAGTTTTACCTGTTGTATGTTCTACATGTTATTCCAGCTCATTTGAAATTAAGGCAATACCATTCTGACTATTAGTATTATACATCTAATTTATGGAAGCCTTAACAACTGATTCAATTTGCTAATATACTTTTTTAAAAAAAAATCATCCACTGTGATCTCTCAACTCATGCCTATGAAGGTTGAATTCAACTTCTTCCTTGTCCCTCGACTAAAGTGTAATCATTTTATGGCCAAATTTATACATTTAAAAATGGAAAGTTAAATTGAGTTGAATAACAACTTAGAACTATGTTCTAAAACTGAGGTCAGACCAAAATCCATTTGAAAAAGACAAACAAAACTGCTCAATTAAAATTAATAATTACTGCAGTACAGTAACTCCTTATCTATCTCTCCTGGTAAGGGAATGAAGAATTTCATAAAGAGTAAAGCTGATGGCTCGGCGCCTATAGCTCAACCGGCTAAGGCGCCAGCCACATACAGTGGCAGGTTCGAATCCAGCCCGGACCACCAAACAACAATGACGGCTGCAACCAAAAAATAGCTGGGCGTTGTGGTGGGCGCCTGTGGTTCCAGCTACTTGGGAGGCAGAGGCAGGAGACTCGCTTGAGCCCAGGAGTTGGAGGTTGCTGTGAGCTGTAATGCTACGGCACTCTACCCAGGGGGACAGCTTGAGGCTCTGTCTCAAAAAAAAAAAAAAAAGAGTAAAGCTGATGGGCAAAAAAAGGCCTGTGCATAATTTCCGCAATATCCAACACCACAGATAAGCAAAATAGGCCTCAAATAATCCACACGTGGCTGATGGGCTGCAAGTTGGACAGCCCTGCACCTAAAAGAACTCATAATCTATTTGGGAAAACAAACAAATAAACTAATAATTTCAGTATATCAAGGCAAATTCAATGGGAGATGAGAACCTAAACTAGGCTGGGAGAAGACCACAGAAAACTTTCTGAAAGAAGTGACAACAAGCTTACTTTCTTTGAGTAACTATGGTTGTATCCCCAAGCACCTCGCATGTTGAATTCCTGCCATATAGCCAGTATTGAGTAAATGTTTACTTTAATAAATTCATTAATATTGACAGAAGTTGCTTTAAGTTTATACTTTCCTTCTTTTTTTTCATTGAGACAGAGTCTCACTTTGCTGCACTCTGGGAGGCCAGAGTGGTGGATTGCTTGAGCTCAGGAGTTCCAGAACAGCCTCAGCAAGAATGAGATCTTGTGTCTAAAAATAGCCGGGTGTTGAAGTGGGTGCTTGTAAGCCCAGCTACTTAGGAGACTGAGACAAGAGTTTGAAGACTTGAACCCAAGAGTTTGAAGTTTTGTTGTGAGCTATGATGCCCTGGCACTCAACCCCAGGGTAAGTGAGTGAGATTCTGTCTCAAAAACAAAAAACGAGCAAACAAAAAAAAAAATTTGCTGTGAAGTATTTGGGACTTAAATTGAGGTTTTTTAAATGCAAACAAAAGAGCAGATATAGACACAGTGTAACAACAGAGTAAAGATTAGACAAGGAAACAACATTCTTCAGAAATCAGGCCATAGGTAGGTCTAATGAAATGAGAGATAGAAAAATGAAAACGTTCCAAATTTTAGAACACAGACATTTCTTATTTCTATTTTGATATAATAACAGTATTTTTAAAAGTCTAATGGTGAGAAATATGAATTTCTGAGAACTAAAATGAAACAATAAATAATGGAATATTCAAAAGAAAAATCTTAAAAGACCAAGACAATTCAACATAGTGCTGGAAATTCTAGCCAATGCAATCAGGCAAGAGAATGAAATAAAGGGCATTCAAATGGGAGAAAAGGAAGTCAAACTCTCACTCTTGGCCTATGATATGATCTTATACTTAGAAAACCCCAAAGACTGAACACAATACTCCTGGAAGGGATCAAAAAGTAACAGCAGTGTCTTAGGATATAAAATCAATGTCCACCAATCGGTAGCCTTTATATATGCCAATAACAGCCAAGATGAGAAGCTAATCAAGGACACAATTCCCTTCACAATGCCTTCAAAAAAAAATAAAATACCTAGGAATATACATAACGAAAGAGGTGAAGGACCTCTACAAAGAAAATCATGAAACCCTAAGAAAGGAAATAACAGCAGATATTAACAAATGGAAGAACATACCATGCTCATGAGCAAAAGTTTTTAGAAACAATGGGGAACAGAATCAGACTAGTAAAGACTGAGATGTTAGAAGCATAAAATACAAAATACTTTATTTATGTTTAAAGGAAAAGTATCACTAACGAATGCAATAGCAAAAGGGACCAAACTCCAGAGTGATTAAAAGGTAAAATTTCTAAAAAATCAAAAATGTGTCACACTATTTAGACACATTGTAGTTAAGTAGCAGATTAGAGTCCTACCTAAAGGGAGAATGAATGAGAAATAGATGTGAAGAAGTTACATAGATGGGAGCACAAAGATACAGAGAAATGGGAACTAAGAAAAAGAAGGTGAAAACCATGGGCAGGCTGGGTGCAGTGGCTCATGCCTATAATCCCAGCACTCTGGGAGGTTGAGGCAGGTAGACTGTCTGAGCTCACAGGTACAAGACCAGCCTGAGCCAGAGTGAGACCTTATCTCTAAAAATTGCCAGGGGTGTGGCAGGTGCCTGTGGTCCCAGCTACGTGGGAAGCTGAAGCAAGAGAATTGCTTAAGCCCAAGAGTTTGAGGTTGCTGCGAGCTGTGACACCAGAGCACTCTACCAAGGGCAACAAAGTGAGGCTCTGGCTCCAAAAAAAAAACGGCATTTAAGATTCTTAATAAAGCTATCAATTGAAAAAATAAAACAAAAGCCATGGACAATAAAACACATAAAAAACATATAAGAAGATTTGATGTACGTAATCCAAAGTCCAGAAGAAGAGAATATTTCAAAGAGGCTAAGAATTTTCTAGAACTGCTGAAATTTATAAACACTATGAATCAGAAACCCCAGATAATTTCAAACAGGACTTTTTAAAAAAGGTAGATAAAACATAAGAAACTGAAGAACAAAGCTTGTTACCTTAAAAGCAGCTCTAAAGAAAAAGGAAAGTATAATCACAAAGTACATCTATTGCTTGCCTCTGAGATGGAGAAAAGACAGTTCTGATGATACAAATGGAAACCGCAACATGATAGAGATAAAGGTTAAACTGTTCTCCTGCTGATGGTAAAGCCTAAGGATTACAGACGTAGTTTGCCTCTCAAGAGGAAATGAGGGCTCCAGTGCTTCAGGGTCCCAGTGTCACATGTGTTAATCCTCCTTCAAAGTCAAAGAATGGATTCTGGCACATAAAAACAAACTGAAACATCCAACTACTGAACTCAGAACTACTACTCGGAAGGCAGGAAAGAAGCTCTGAAAAAGGAGGGCGTAACATCTAAGCAATTACAAGCACTCTAAATTCTAAAAAACAAAAACAAATTAACATTAGGGGAAGCTGGGTAAAAGATATATAGAAACTCAAATATGGTTAATTTGCACCTTTTCTCTACATCTAAAATTAATTAAAATAGTTTTACTTATTTATGTATTTATTTGTTTATTTTTGAGACAGAGTCTCACTTTGTCACCTTCAATAGTGTTGTGGCATCACAACTCACAACAACTTCAGACTCTTGGGCTTAAGTGATCCTCTTGCCTCAACCTCCCAAGTATCTGGGACTACAGATGCCTGCCATAACATCCAGTTATTTTTAGATTTTCACTCTT